GCCCTCTGCAATTACAAGAGTTTTTTTTTATGTGTTTATTTTTTAATTATTTTTTTCTCAGTGGCATCACCCCCTGGCTAGGCAGGAAAAAGATATGTCCCTGTTCCTGCAGGAATTTTTCATATCACACCTCCCAGAAGGCTGTAGGGCCAGGCACACAAATCAGGACAAGGGCTATGTCACCTGAATTATGGATCACAGCTGGACAATGCTGCGTGAGAGAGTATGTGGTTTTAAGATAAACAATACATGTAAGTGGGAGGAGAAACTACATAAGGGAGGGTAAAGTTCTGCCTTAAGACAGCCTTATATCTGAATTTCTGATCTTTCAGGGTACAGTATATTGTAAATTGTTTACTGTGTAATTTAACAACAATGCCTGTTCACACAGTTAGGAAAAAAAGTTAATGTACAGACTGCAGAGGACTGAATGAATATCACTCTCACCTTAAGACTAGGAACCAGCTCACAGCAGCTTTCCCAAATCCATTTATGATCATGAGACACATTCGCCTCACTCCAGTTCCCTAGCTGGAAAATTCCTCCCAGAGTGACCATCTGAGACCTATACATACAGTATAGTAAATATGGTTATTTATGCAACTATTTCATGACTTCCACCGTAAGATATATTTTATTAAAACACATGAATTTTATAGCATGACCAGCTTAAGCCTACTATACTCACCCAGGAATAATGTATGGTGTGGTATATACCCCTGTCTTTAGATCATGAGTAACAATGAAGTGTTTCATCCAAGGAGCATGAACCTAAAACATAACAGCTATGTCACACAACATATTTGTGGCCATTATAATCTATGTACCCATCTGATGAGCCATATCTTCTTTAAACAAAAAGCATGCTACATATAATCGCATGTATTTTTTAGCAAACATTATTGAAGACCCATATCTTATTCTGTTCTAGAGAAAATTAACAACATCCTTTTTCCTATAGACTGCTTACATTGTATAAAAAAAGAACCCTACTGGAGCATGCATCATCTGGTGAAGTTCTGCATAGAGACATCAACTTCCAGGTTTTATTGTCAAAGCTTAACAGAACAAGCTGAAGTTAGAAGCTGACTGGCTACCATGCACAGCTGCTTTTTTTTTTTTTTTGCACCAGATTTTGCACTCAAGTTTTAATAAAATCAACCCCATAGTGTACTCCCCACCTAGCGGGTCTGTACCAAAAAAGAAAAAAAGGAGGTCATCACACCAACAGTAAATAAATGTAGTTTTTTTACTCTCAAGTTTTCCATTTGTATTTAAAGTGGGCCTGAACTAAAAAAGTGAAGATTTGCTATGTTATAGGGTATGTCTAGAAGTGTCTAATCTGTCTAAGCAGTACACTGAAAAATGTAGCTTTTGTTACCTTTTTTCTTTAGTTTTGGATAGATCATATAAGGGTAAGAACTTTTCAGGTTTAACTAATCCAGAAGATGCTACTTCCCTGGTCTCCCCTAGATGGGCTTGTGTATGGCATCCAGGGTTGTCTTGAACCTTTGAGTACCCTCAGAGGTTGCTAGAGGTTCCTTGGCAAGTCAGCACTGGTGGACTGATTTCCTGTCTACACTTATCACCAATGTAAGGGTCAATTTCCTACTAATCATCAGTGTAAGGGGCAATACACTGACTACTAGTGTATGAGAAACACTACTTTTTAACCGCTTTGCCGACCCGCCACAGAGTTTTTTATTGTGGCAGGGCGGCACCTGTATGCACAGCGCCGTCTTTTAACGTCGCTGTGGGAAAACAGGCACGAGGCGCGTGCCCGCCCTACCCGTCCTACCGATCGTGGCAGCGGTGTCCATCACCGACTCCCGGTGGGTCATTTCCCACCGGGGTGCCGGCAATTACAAGTAATCACTGACAGATAGCACGGCTGCATTGTTTACTTTGCAGCTCTGCTGTCAGTTCAGAGCACGCTGAACCTGAGAGAAGACTATCTCTCGGGATCAGCTTGTTCCTGTGAAGTACACACCCTCGCCCCTTAGTAATACACTCCCCTCACAGTTAACCCTTTCATTATCTAATAAAAGTTAACCCCTTCCTCCCCAGTGCCATTAGTACAGTGTCAGTGTTTTTTTTTTTGCACTGATCACTGTATTGGTGTCACTGGGATGTCAGTGACCCCAAGTCAGTTCCCCTCCAGTGTCAAAATGTCCGCCGCAGTCCCGCCATAAGTCGCTGATCACCGCCATTATTAGTATAATAAAAAAATATCCCAGTATCTTTCCAGCCATTTGTAGACACTATAACTTTCACGTAAACCAATTAATTCACACGTATTGTTATTTTTTTTAAGCAAAGACATGTCGCAGAATACATTTTGGCAGAAATTTATGACTAAAATTGATTTACATTTTTTTTACTGGACATGTTTTATAGCAAAAAGTCCAAAATATTGTTTTTTTCTCAAAATTGTCAGCTTTTTATAGCGCAAAAATAAAAAACGCACAGGCGATCAAATATTATTATTATACAGTATTTATAAAGCGCCAATAGTTCACTCAGCGCTGTACATTACAAAGGGGACAGAACATGTGACAGTAACAATACCAATAACAATGCAAAACATGAGGGGATCGAGGGGGAGGCCCTGCTCTTTCGAGCTTACAATCTAGAAGGGATGGGATAGTGGTACAGAGAGGAGATAGCTGTGGGGGATGGAGTGGTAGGAAGAGTGGAGGAGGTCAGCAAGTTAGCAGGGGTGAGGTTAGGCTTCCCTGAAGAGATGGGTTTTTCAGGGTGCGCCTAAAGGAGAGGAGAGTAGGGTGTGATAATATGATGGGTTGGGGAAGGGAGTTCCAGAGGATGGGTGACACCCTGGAGAAGTCCTGGAGGCGGGCATGGGAGGAGGAGACCAGGGAACTAGAGAGAAGGAGGTCTTGTGAGGAGCGGAGTGTGTGCGTGCGTGGGCGGTACTTGGATATTAGGTCAGTGATGTAGTTCGGGGCAGTATGGTGGACAGCTTTGTACGTCAGTGTTAGAGGATTTTAAATTTTTTGATCCATTGCGCAATCGAAGCCAGTGGAGGGATTGGCAGAGGGGGGTGGCAGAAATGGAGCGGTTGGAAAGGTGAATGAGTCTGGCAGCCGTATTCAGGATCGACTGAAGCGGGGATAGCCAGCGGCGAGGCAGGCCAGTGAGGAGGGAGTTGCAGTAGTCGAGTCGTGATATGATGAGGGAGTGGAATGAGCTGTTTTTAGTGGTTTCTGGGGTTAGGAACGTGCGGATTTTGGCGATGTTGCGGAGTGTGAGTCTGCACGAGTTTGTTAAAGATTGGACTTAGGGCTGGAAAGGATAGGTTGGAGTCCAGAATAACACCAAGTACTCTGGCCTGCAGAGCGGGTTTGATATTGGCGTTGTTGGATGTGATGTAGAAGTCGATGGGGGGGTGGGGTTCGGGCTGGGGGGAAGACAAGGAGCTCGGTTTTGGAGAGATTCAGTTTAAGGAAGTGGAGCGACATCCAATCTGATATGTCGCTCAGTAGGTTGTGATTTGGGCAGAGACCGAGGGGTGAGGTGGGGGGTTGAGAGATAGATTTGTGTGTCATCGCATAGAGGTGGTAGTTGAAGCCGTGAGAGTGTATGAGTTGGCCAAGGGAGGAGGTGTAGATGGAGAAGAGAAGGGGCCCAAGGACAGAGCCTTGAGGGACCCCAACAGAGAGGGGGAGTGAGGGGGAGGTGGTAGCATTATAGGTAACGCTGAAAGAGCGTTGTGACAGGTAGGATGAGAGCCAGGAGAGAGCAGAATCTCTGAGGCCGAGGGAGTGTAGTATTTTGAGAGGAGGAGGGGGTGGTCAACTGTGTCGAAGGCCGCAGAGAGGTCAAGGAGTAGGAGCACTGAATAGTGGCCATTAGCTTTGGCGGTTAGAAGGTCGTTGGAGAGTTTGAGTAAGGCAGTTTCGGTGGAGTGTAGGGGGCAGAAGCCAGACTGTAGGGGATCGAGGAGGTTGTTGTTGTTGAGGTGAGAGAATAGGAGGGTGTAGACGAGGCGCTCGAGGAGTTTAGAATTAAGTGGGAGCAGGGGAGATGGGTCTGAGGTTGTTCGGGTCATTGGGGTCCAGGGAGGGCTTTTTAAGTATGGGGGTGATGTGTGCATGCTTCAGTGGGGAGGGAAAGTGCCGGAGGAGAGGGAGAGATTAAAGATGTGGGTGAGGGAGCGTAGGATGGAGGGGGAGGGAGGTCGTAGGAATTGTGAGAGGGGATAGGGTCGAGGGGGCAGGTGGTGAGGCGGGCATCAGAGAGGATCTTGGAGGACTTCCTCGATGGTAGTAAGGTCAAAGGTGTGGAGTGTTGGGGAGCTTCAGTATGAGGAATGTAGGGTGGGGTGGGAGTGGGAGGTCAGAGCAGTGGTGGGGCCGTGGGAGAGGGGTGATGAGGGGGTAGCTGAGTGAGGGGGAACGGGGTTGGAGGGAGTTTGAGCAGTGACGAAGTCCCTGCGGGTAATGTTGAGGGGAGGGGGGATGAGGGGGTAGCTGTGTGAGAGGGGACGGGTTGAGAGAGGGCGTGTGAGTTGCGGCAATGTCCTTGCGAATTGTGTCAATCTTGTTTTTGAAGTGATTGGCAATCTCAAGGGCGGTGAGTGAGGTGCTGGGTGGAGGTGGGGGTGGAGAGAGTTGAAGGTGGAGAAGAGTCGGCGAGGATTGGAGGAGAGGGCCTGATGAGGGTCAGGAAGTAGGCTTGTTTGGCTGCGTGGAGGGAGGAGGTGTAGGTGCAGAAGGCAGATTTGTAGCAGGTGAAAGCTTGTTGGGATTTTGTTTTGCGCCATAGTCGCTCCAGGGCACGACTGCGTCGTTTGAGGGTTTTGGTGTGTGATCAGTCTGCCAGGGCTGGAGCGGTCGGAGTCTGATGTTGCGTGTGGTTAAAGGAGCTAGTGAGTCCAAGGGCTGCTGACAGCGCGTTGTTGTAGGCAGTCATAGCCAAGTCGGGGCAGGACAGGGGGAGGATGCGGTCGTGGAGTTGATCAGCTGCAGAGTGGAGGGGGGCAGGGTTAAGGTTGCGGAGGTTACGGCTGGTAGTAGTGTGACATTTGGAGGGGTAGGCGTTGGAGGACGAGGAGATAGAGAAGGTGATCAGGTTGTGGTCAGAGAGAGTGAAGGGGGTGTTAGTGAGGTTGTGGGAGCGCAGCGGTTGGAGAAGACAAGAATCAGGATATTACCGTCGGAGTGGGTGGTGGATTGTATGCACTGTGCAAGTGCAAAGGAGGAGGTTAAGTGGAGGAGACGGGCTGCGTCTGGGTTGTCAAGGTTGACAGGGATGTTGAAATCCCCAAGAATGATGATGGGTAGCTCAGAGGAGAGGAAGAAGGGTAGCCAGAGGAGAAGTCTTCCAGGAAGCGGGGTATGGATCCAGGAGGCCGGTATATCACAGCAATCTTCAGGGGGGTTGGGGAGAATAGTCGGACGCAGTGGGCCTCGAAGGAGGAGAAGGATTAGGGAGGGGGGGTTTTTTGGGAGGACTCGGAAGGTGCTCTGCGGTGACAGGAGCAGACCAACCCCACCACCTTTATGACCGTTAGGCCTGGGTGAGTGGGTCCAGGTGAGACCTCCATAGGAGAGTGCAGCAGGGGAGGTAGAGTCAGTGGGCTGGATCCAGGTTTCCGTGATCGCCAGGAGGTTGAGGGAGCAGGAAACAAAGAGGTCGTGGATGGCGGTAAGCTTGTTGCACACCGATCGAGCGTTCAGGAGTGCACATGAAAAACGGGGGGGAGATTTTAGGGAGCAGGGGGACAGATACTAGGTTGCGGTGGGGGGGGT